CACTGGGGGAATTTGTTTGGTAAGTAAATTTCTTCTTAATAGAATTAGGCAATATTGAAATTGTTTTTGTTTCTAATTAATCTAGTCTTTCTTATAAATACTTTTATATAACAGAGTTTTCCAAAAAGGTTTTGCGTTTCTCATTTACCAAAACATGATGCTAATGTTGTTTTGGTGGATGAAGATGGAGATGAATTTTCCACCAAGTACCTAATTGGCAATTACGGATTGAGTGGGAGGTGGAGAGGTTTCTCCATTGCTCACAATCTTGTTGAAAAAGATGTGTTGGTCTTTCAATTGATTGAGACTTGCAAATTTAAGGTAACACCTTTTAAATGTTTTAATCCTAGTCATTTTGTTAAATCAAGAATTACTTTCGCTTTATTTATCTTAAATGTAATTAGTATAAATGAATTTCCACACAACCAAGAGAGAAAATAATAGAAACGTAGATATTTCTGATAAAGTAGGAATGACCCCCATTGTGGAAAAGATGAGAGAAGCGAGACTAAGATGTTCTGACATGTGAAGAGAAAGATGCATAGATGTGTTAGTAAGGAGGTGTCAGAGGTCGACTATGGTGGATTTGAGGAGAGGTAGAAGTTAGTCGAAGAAGTATTAGGGTGAGGTAATTAGACATGACCTGACATACCTACAACTTGCGAGGACATTACAAAGTTCAAAGATTAAGGTAGAAAGTTAGTATACAACAGAGCCTTGTCTAGTTCTCCTTATCAGTGTTATTAGTATTACTCTTCTATATATTATTCTTTAAGTTTTATTACTTGTTTTTTCCTTTGTTTCAATGTCATATTATTTGTTGGTTCTACTCCATTACATCTCTTTACCTTCAAATGGTAGGGGTAAATTTATGTACCATCCTCCCCTTACCCCATTTGTGGAATTACATTTGGTATGATATTGTTGTTGTTGGGCCTAATTATAATTTTTATTGTTTTAGGTACACATTTTACGAGAAAATTGCTTGTCACAAATTGATGTTGTTGTTGTTCTTATGGATTTTATTTTTGAAGCACACAGTGGTATGATTATAAACAGTATATTTTAATTTCTTTCACAATCAAGATGTACATTCTAACTTTCTATTTGCTTATATTATCTCAGAAGATCAAAATGAAAAGATGAATATGTGTGAAGAAAACGAGGATAAATATTTGGAGCCTCATGAAGAAAGAAAGTTAAGCTCGTCTTGCATGAAAGAAAGGTGAGCTAGGTGAAGCAAAAGAGGAAATGTTGAATCATGAAGAAAAGCTTTTGAAAATGAAACATCTGTAAATGAAAATAATACATCAAGTTTGTTGTTGGTGTTACATCAAATAATTTGTAAATGTCTCGCCTAGGGGAGAACACTGCAGAATTATAATTATGTTTTCACAACATTGATTCATTCCAAGAGATTAACTAAATTTTAAGAAATATTTTAAGAAAATGTGGAAGAAGATTAGGATTGATGACGAATGTGAAATAAAAATATTATACTCGTTTGGATATGATTTCTAACCATGAAAAATTTCACATTTTGTGAAAAATATTTTTAAAAAATCAACGCTTAAATAATTTTATCAAATTAGCAAATTATAATTCACAAATGAGGTAATATAATATTCTAAGACAATACAATAATAAATTATTGCCTATCTCTATTTTTTATAAAAAAATATTTGTGATCACATGTTATTGCAAACTTTCAAAATACATACATTTTTTAAATAAAGATTAACTTATTGAATAAATCAACTTTCACAAGGTAGGGGCAAGACTATGTACACATTACACTTTTCGGAACCTACTTGCGGGATTACACTAATTATATTGTTGTATTCGTTGATCAAAATAACTAGTTATTCTTTAATATATCCTCCTACATCATACATACAATTTCTTTACAACAAGCTTGATTTATTTTTTTCTATTTAAATGATGGATTTTATGTGCAAATTGTATTCTTCTGGGACAAATTTTACATTTTTTTTTAAAAAAATAATCACAAATTGGATTCCTTAAAGCCTTTTCTGCCTTTTACAGATAAACTACTTTATTAGACATACATCACTACCATATATATTAATTTTACCTCTACTTTCAAATAATTACATATATTATTACTTTTAATATTTTATACCATATATTATTAAAGATACAATCAAAAACCCACCTCCCTTTAAATTAGGATTGATGAATTATCTTTACATTTAAACTCTCAAATTAACATTTTAATTAAAAACAAATATCTTTAACTCAGGAAATATGAGTTAGGGTAAAACTCTAACTCTAACTCTAACTCTTCCTCTTTCTCCTCCCTTGATCAGTAGGCCGTGAGAAGAAACACTCCATTAAAATGGATGTTCTACAGCTTGTCAACCTACACGTCAAACTCTTAGCCTTTGATTTTCTCACTCTTAAACCAATTCCCTACGTACTCATCATTTTTTCTCGCAAGGGGAGACACCTCTCGCGCACAGAGACAATGAGTATCAAATTTGTCATTGACGATGGTGTCAGTTACATACTCAACCAAGAAACTTCGCGTCACTTATCCCGTCGGATCTAGGCGCTATTGTTCTGTCATGTATCCAAGCTCATATGTATCTGTCTTTATCATGTATCTTAATAGATTCAAATAAACCTCATTAAAAGTAATACTCCCTCCGTATTTTTGCTGGTCCATGTTTGACTTGACACATCCCTTATGAAATAATAAATAGAGCGGCATTTTACTATATCATCCTTATTAATTATAAGATCGATCAATAAATAGTGTTTAATTGCAAGGGTAAAGTAGACACAAAACTGGCACTTATATCTTAATTATCCAAACTAGACAAGTAAAGTTGGACAATTATTTTTTAGTATATTGAATAAATAACGATGAACGGAGGGAACTGTCACGATCCAAAACGAGTCATGAGTGGCATCCACACTTATCCTCCTAAGTGGGTGAACCAATAAATTCAACCCCAATTATATATTACTTGTTAAACTTACGAAATACAAACCATAATGCGAAAGCTCAATCTTATTAAGGTAAGAAACACAAATCCACTAAAGTCTACTCTATGTCATTCTCAAAACCTGGTCATCACATCAAGGACATCTAATCTCCAAATGCTAAGTCTAAGAGTATCAAAGACACCAAAATAAATGAAATAAATGGGTTATGTCCGAAAACTAAGGACATCATGTCATGACCGAGAGAATCCAACACGAGCTTGAATGAATAGCTCACCCTGGAACCTAATATGCTGGAGATTGGCTAGAGCTGAGGGCGAGTCAAGGTCGTTGATACACTCACTGCACTCCACAAAAGGAAAACACAAGTAGGGCTCAGTACAAGGCAACATGTACTGAGTAGGTATCATCGGCCAACCCAAAATAGAAACTAATATACAATGAATAGATAGTATAAAATCATCTATGACACTTAGTAGGTGGCAAGCAACAAACAACATGAACAAGTGACAACAACACTAAAGTAAGTACGTAACCAGTCAACAATATCAAGAACATACTTGAGGACTCATGCCTCCAAACCAAGCGATTTTGGGAATTGAGTTCTTTGAGATTGAGTACATTACGTTGTTTATATATGTTTTCCTTTAATGTTACCATGCCGGAACGTGACACCCGATCCAATAATATCATGT